TTTACAGAATTATTATTATTATCATCCTAAGTATCTTATTATGCTCGCTCTTGCCTTTATGTTTCTCGAAGCTAGCTGCAGAGCCGCCTCACTTTTTTTACACACACACACACACACACACACACACACACACACACACACACACACACACACACACACACACACGGTAATCACCAGTACACTTGTGTAGCCTCGAAAGAGGCATGTGGGTCACAGCCAAGAATTAACAACAGTGTATGCAAATGACGTGTTATTTCACAACGGCGCGCCAATTATATCCAACGCGATCTTTTTTTTTTTTTCTTCCTTTTCTACACTCAATTGTTTCGTTTTATTAGCAACGACGCAGCGGCTTTAATATGAACACACACGTGAGCGTTCTCCACGCATCCAAGACAAGTGTCGTATCCGAAAAAGCTTTTGGTTAATTTTTTTTTATTGTCTTGTTCGTATGCGTCTTAATTGAACAATATGTTCATGACAGTGGTGTCAATGTGCGGTGTTGAAATGTACCGCATCAAACGGCGGGAGTTGTTTCTAAAATTTTGACCCTCATCTGGTGGTAAAAGGCGCCCCCAGAATATTAAAAAGAGCATTACGCACCGCACTCATACCGGTTATGAAGGCTGATTTTTTTTGATTGGAGTCTTGTCATTCGATGAAGTGTAACATTATTGCATGTTGTGGCGAAATGGAATAGATTACGTGTCCAATAAGGACTCTTTATCGGCAGGCTGTGTGAGAGTCCGACGCCTACTCTTCTTTATCATCATCATCATCCTCCAGTGGGGGGCGAGGAGAGGGGGGCTGCTTTTAAGCTACACGCTCTTCTATTAATTTTCTTTCGAAAACGAATTGTTTATTCTTATTCTGCCGAATAAAAATACACACTATAAATAGTGGCAATGTTTTTTTTTTTTAGAATCGAAAAATGATCAATAGTCTGTGGAATAATAAGGAAAAGCAATAAAACGACACCTTTAACACCTCTGGGGGCAATATTGTTTCCCCCTCGCCTCCCTCTGTTAGCACTAATAAATGTGTCAGTACTTTCAAAGCCCAAAAGAGGTTCGGCGTGACAATTACATCAACGACGAGTGGATCCACTTGTGGGCCGAGACGAGAACACATCCGAATATCGGTTGTGGTATTTTCAGACCCCCCCCCCCCGAAAGTGCACCCAGAGGAAGAACGACATGCAGGTCGGTTCGACTGGAGGGTGTGTTCGACAAAGGGGAAACAAACTTTGCTGACTTGGTTATAATTAAAATAAAAAAGAACTTGCGAAATGGGGAAAAACACCTCAGCCTTTTCCTCTTGTGGAAAATGAAGATTTGGGAAGGGGGGGGGGCGGTTAGGCGTACAATGTGTGTACAACCTGAAGGAGAAATGCAAAAACGACACGAATGTAAAAGAAAACCCCCGTTACAATAATTTTAAAAAAGGGGGAAATTAAGTAGCTTCTTTAAAGTTGCGTGTTCAGTTCTACAAAAATCCACAATCGAATAAAAAGACTCCGCTAATTTTGAAGTGAATGAATTTACTAAGCAACTCGATAGACATCGTCACCTGTTGTGACTGCGTAAAAAAAATATTCAACGGTCGTTAACAGGTGGCATTTGCGGCACATTTTTAAGCAGGTTTACACGCTTGAAAACATTATTCAAGTGAAATTAGACTTAATTTGATTGAATCCAAAAAAAAAGAGAGGAGAATTCGGTCGCCGTGTAGTCTGCTAAGAACGCAAATTGCACTTTCGACACGCTGGCGTGCACGCGTCAATTTGCGCGAGGAGCCGCTCAATCGCTGACGGTTTTCGTGTAACAATCAACATATTTTTACCAAAAAAACATGCAAACACAAATATCCCAAGTTTTTTTTTGCGATGTTGCTGTCATGTTCAAACATCAACATTAAAAAAAAAAAAAAGATTCTTACTGGCACGATGCAGGTTAAAATTTGTTTTTTTGGGCGGGGTGGAGGGGGTGGTGTTTGGGGGGGTCCCGGTTCAAGTTCAGCGCATGGTTCTCCTCTTG